ATACATACAATTTTATTTTACTCTTTGGAAAAACATTTATTGTGTTATATTTTTTGCAAAAAAAGAAAACATTTTTGATAAAATTAAGATTTTTTTTGTTTTACAAATGTTCAACAGACACTGGAAACTATTTTTGTAGTCAACAAAAAATATTTTTTTTGTGGTGTGAAAAAAATTAATTTAGTGAAAATTGTTGCTGCTGCTGCTTTTCTGGTGAGGAGAGCATGATTCAAGAATAGTGTTAACTTTATTTAGAAATTTCAAGGTAATTATTTTAATAAAATAATGTAACTATTTTGCAATATCACTTCAAAGAGAAATCTATTTTATAATATTTTATATGCATTCCACTACAAGTGATCACGATTAATTGTTATCGACATAGAATACTCATAATTTTACTACAGATGTTATGTAATACAAATTGATTTTGAATAGTTGTATGTAATCGGAAAATATTTACATTTTTAATGTAGGGAAAATAATAAAAATAATAAAAATAATAAAATAATTTCAAAATGAGGTTGAATATTTTAGTCTAATTTTTCAAGGCGTGGATTTTTTAAAAAATATTTTTTCAAAGACTTACCAAGGCGTGGATTTTTTAAAGAATATTTTTTCAAAGACTTACCAAGGCGTGAATTTTTTAAAGAATATTTTTTCAAAGACTTACCAAGGCGTGGATTTTCTAAAGAATATTTTTTCAAAGACTTGCTACGGCGTGGATTTTTTAAAGAATATTTTTTCAAAGACTTACCAAGGCGTGGATTTTTTAAAGAATATTTTTTCAAAGACTTTGCCAAGGCGTGGATTTTTTAAAGAATATTTTTTTAAAGACTTCGCCAAGGCGTGGATTTTTTAAAGAATATTTTTTCAAAGACTTCGCCAAGGCGTGGATTTTTTGAAGAATATTTTTTCAAAGACTTCGCCAAGGCGTGGATTTTTTAAAGAATATTTTTCAAAGACTTACCAAGGCGTTGATTTTTTAAAGAATATTTTTTCAAAGACTTACCAAGTCGTGGATTTTTTAAAAAATATTTTTCAAAGACTTACCAAGGCGTGGATTTTTTAAAGAATATTTTTTCAAAGACTTCGCCAAGGCGTGGATTTTTTAAAGAATATTTTTTCAAAGACTTCGCCAAGGCGTGGATTTTTTAAAGAATATTTTTTCAAAGATTTACCAAGGCGTGGATTTTTTAAAGAATATTTTTCAAAGATTTACCAAGGCGTGGATTTTTTAAAGGATTTTTTTCAAATACTTACCAAGGCGTGGATTTTTTAAAAAATATTTTTTCAAAGACTTACCAAGGCGTGGATTTTTTAAAGAATATTTTTTCAAAGACCTACCAAGGCGTGGATTTTTTAAAGAATATTTTTTCTAAGACTTACCAAGGCGTGGATTTTTTAAAGAATATTTTTTCAAAGACCTACCAAGGCGTGGATTTTTTAAAGAATATTTTTTCAAAGACTTACCAAGGCGTGGATTTTTTAAAGAATATTTTTTCAAAGACTTACCAAGGCGTGGATTTTTTAAAGAATATTTTTTCAAAGACTTACCAAGGCGTGGATTTTTTAAAGAATATTTTTTCAAAGACTTACCAAGGCGTGGATTTTTTAAAGAATATTTTTTCAAAGACTTACCAAGGCGTGGATTTTTTAAAGAATATTTTTTCAAAGACTTACCAAGGCGTGGATTTTTTAAAGAATATTTTTTCAAAGACTTACCAAGGCGTGGATTTTTTAAAGAATATTTTTTCAAAGACTTACCAAGGCGTGGATTTTCTAAAGAATATTTTTTCAAAGACTTGCTAAGGCTTGGATTTTTTAAAGAATATTTTTTCAAAGACTTGCTAAGGCGTGGATTTTTTAAAGAATATTTTTTCAAAGACTTACCAAGGCGTGGATTTTTTAAAGAATATTTTTTCAAAGACTTACCAAGGCGTGGATTTTTTAAAGAATACTTTTTCAAAGACTTCGCCAAGGCGTGGATTTTTTAAAGAATATTTTTTCAAAGACTTACCAAGGCGTGGATTTTTTAAAGAATATTTTTTCAAAGACTTACCAAGGCGTGTATTTTTTAAAGAATACTTTTTCAAAGACTTCGCCAAGGCGTGGATTTTTTAAAGAATACTTTTTCAAAGACTTCGCCAAGGCGTGGATTTTTTAAAGAATACTTTTTCAAAGACTTCGCCAAGGCGTGGATTTTTTAAAGAATACTTTTTCAAAGACTTCGCAAGGCGTGGATTTTTTAAAGAATACTTTTTTAAAGACTTCGCCAAGGCGTGGATTTCTTAAAGAATATTTTTTCAAAGACCTACAAAGGCGTTGATTTTTTAAAGAATGGTATTTTTAAAGACTTACCAAGGCGTGGATTTTTTAAAGAATACTTTTTCAAAGACTTCGCCAAGGCGTGGACTTTTTAAAGAATACTTTTTCAAAGACTTCGCCAAGGCGTGGATTTTTTAAAGAATACTTTTTCAAAGACTTCGCCAAGGCGTGGATACTTTTAAAAACACTATATATTTATGATCCGATTTGAATGAAATTTAGCACAAGTCACTTATTTGGCCCAAGGACGATCTCTATTGAAATTGAAGAAAATCGGGTAAGATTTAGATGGGGCACCAATGTCGCTATATATCATTCGATTTGCACGAAATTTGGCATAAGGTACTGAATTAGGTCCAGAATGATGTGTGCTAAGTTTCGTGAAAATCGGTTCAGATATAGATATAGCTTCAGTATATAGTTTCGTCCGATTTTATATAAATGGAGCACCAAAGTCCTATAAATCTTTCGATTTGCACGAAATTTGGAATAGGGTACTGAATTGAGTCTTTAATGATGTGTGTCAAGTTTCGAACAAATTAGGTCAGATTTCGATATAGTTCCCATATATAGTTTCATCCGATTTTATGTAAATGGTGCACCAAAGGTCCTATATATCTTTCGATTTGCACATAATTTAACATAGGGTAGTGAATTGAGTCCTTAATGATGTGTGTCAAGTTTCGAAAAAATCGGGTAAGATTTCGATATAGCTCCCATATATAGTTTCGTCCGATTTTACGTAAATGGTGCACCAAAGGCCCTATATATCTTTCGATTTGCACATAATTTAACATAGGGTAGTGAATTGAGTCTTTAATGATGTGTGTCAAGTTTCGAAAAAATCGGGTCAGATTTCGATATAGCTCCCATATATAGTTTCGTCCGATTTTACGTAAATGGTGCACCAAAGGCCCTATATATCTTTCGATTTGCACGAAATTTGGCATAGGGCAATAAATTAGGTCGAGAATGGTGTATGCTAAGTTTCGGTCCAGATATAGATATAGCTTCCATATATATATTTATATATTTTCGTCCGATTTTATATAAATTGTTCACTAAAGACCCATAGCTAGGCCGATTGACAAAACGTACTGAAATTAGTATTCCTTCCTAAAGGCAACGTCTGTTAGGATAAATATGTAGAATATACCCAAACTGATGAAGGGTATCATATAGTCGGCCCAGTCCGACTTTACTGCTTTCGTTACTGGTTTAATTATTTTTTTTTTCAAGGACCTATATAAATTTTTTCATATAATATTTTTCAAGAGCATAGGATGGACAAGGATTTTGTAAATAAAATTTTTCAATGGCCTACACAAAGATTAAATTTTTTAAATAATATTTTTTTTAAATCTTGAATGTTTTATATAATATTTTTTTAGAGATAAGGCATGCATTTTTAAATACTATTTTTTTGAAAGACCTATATAAGGCGTGGATTTTTTAAATATTTTTTTTAGTTCAATCTGTAGAGTATATTGTTTAAAAATATTTATCTCAGGAATATCGGATTATTTCATATTTTGGAATCCCATTAGATAAAAATGTTCCAAACTATAAATTTTCATTATAGGTTCCCGTTTGTGGGTAGCTCTCTTATAAAGATACTACCCCAATTTCGTTATTTTTCATTTAGATATTAGCCACACGGCATGCCTAAGAGCTTCCTCCCTTTACAAAAAAAAAACTAAATACCTTCCACTTATCGAACATCAATTAAAATTGCTGTATTCAAAACAATTTTCTCACATAATTTTCATTTTATCTAATTACATTGAAGTCAATTTAATTGATTTTTTTGTTGGTTTGTGTCAAACTTTTATGGCCATTCCAACAACCTAGCCCAAGTGTCCATATTCTCTATTCATGGCATTTTAACTCAATTTATATTGAACACAGAAAAATTAGAAGAACTCAATATTGTCCATTATCTATCATCGTCTTGTCTTCCTAGTTTATATTGTAATAATTTTTCCGGTCGTTTGACTCCCTTTTATGCTTCCCAACTAATATTCGGTGTTTATTTGCTGCAATTATCAAAGACAGCGGCACCATTGCAGCCAGAATATAAAGAAGGAACAAAAACAACAACAACAAAAATTCAAAACAAGTTAAAAAGCTGTTTCAAAATGTTTGTTGGCCTAATAGCGAACTGATGCTGCTGTTTTGGTTCTTTTTCTCTAGCTCCAAAGTGGCAGCCAGCTAGGCCGAGTAACGAGCTTTAAACGCTGCTGTGACAGAGATGAGAAACGGTAACGTTCATTCGTCGGTTAGGTTGGTGGGTTCGTTTTTGGTTATTATGTTGTTTCCCCCATTTTTTGTTTGTTTTCATGTCTGTGCGTTTTCGTTTTCAGTTGAGTTCGATCCAAAGAACGATAAAGATGTCGTTTTGAAAACGCTTAAAACTCGCTAGAGTTTCGAATGTTAACTTTAAAACATAACAAATAAAATGTATTAAAAAATACAGAAAAAAGTGATTTGAATTTGTTTTCGAATATAAATTGTGAAATGAATTTAAAAGTTAACGTCGTGGAATTTAATTTGATTTAAAATTGGTTAATAATAAAAAACCATTAATAAAGAATATTTTTACGAGTTGTTTTTTTTTTTTTTTTTTGAATTGTGAATATTCAAATTTGTGAATATTTAAGAAAGAATGGCGGAGAAAAAATATTCAAGTGTTAAAACGGATTCAGGTATAAAAATAATTAAATAATTCATTAACGAAAACGAAGAAATGGTTGTAGCTACAAGTGTGGGCTTTTTAAATAATATTTTTTAAGTGGATTTAAAAAATATAAAAACAGTTTTTATTTATTGTGGGAATATTAAACGAATATTTTTAAATGCCATCACGGGGTAACGTTTTGGTTCGTAATTTTTTTTACAGAATATATGTACACGGACAAACAAACGTGGGGTATAAAAAATATTTTTTCGAAATTCCAACGAGGCATGGATTTTTAAGGAATATTTTATTAAAAAAAAAACATAAAAGTTCCTTTTTTCGAATATTCAAGGACCCACACAAACGTGACTCTTTTACAGAAATTTTAATAATATGTTTTCAAATCAGATTTCTTTAAGATTTCATTCAGATTTATTTTTTTCAAAGACTTACCAAAAAAAGTATTTTTTTAAATATCCGTCATATATTCACACATTGTTTGAGTGTTTAAAATATTCTATTCTAAATATATGGCCATGCCATGAGATTCACACTCAAAATACGTTATATAGGTCGGGATATGTAAATGCGACAATGTTTTTTATTCTCTCATGAATAAAAACATACCAAATTAAGCTAAAAATTCGGCTAAGGCCTCTAATATACCTTTGATGGGCGGACCACGAACAAAAAAAACCAAAATTAGGCAGGACCTTTATTGAAGAGCTATGTTAAAACATAAACTTAGGCCGACAAATTCCTGCGTTTTTTATTACCCAAGATATATCTCATTTGTAATGGCAAACATTGTAGGAGCACAAGTGTCCTATGTGCAACATTTCAGATCTATCTAAATATTGTGAGATCTATCGTGATTTCAAGAGACAGGCAAGTGGAGGGACGTACAAAAGGATATGGAATTTAGAATTTGTATACCGATCTTCTATTTTATTTATATTTCAAAGCATGCAAACGGTAGACAGAGCCCTTTTTTAAATTGAAAAGTATTCGAATTGAAAAATCAACACCATAATTTTTTTTAAGTCTCATGTTTTCCATAGTCCATAATTATTTTTTTTATAACTTGGTCAAATAATACTTAAAAATATTTTGTTTCAAAATGGCAATGCAAATCAACCCTTTAATAGCCCTTAAAAAATAATATTTTTAAAATCCACGTTCTGCCAGTTCTTGAAATTCGATAAATCCACATTTTTGAGTCCTTGGAAAATTAATTCACTAGCATGATGGCTCTTAAAAGTAATTTTTAAAAAATAGACCTTCTGATTGTTACTGAAAAAAATTGAAAATTCACGTTGAAAAAATACCTTTTGAAAAATCCAACGATTGATGGTTCTAAAAACGATATTAAAAAATCCAGTAATCCAAAAAATAAATATTAATTATTATTAATAAATATTAATTAAAAAACGATATTTAAAAAATAATAAAGTAATTCAAAAACCAGTAAGGAAAGTAGTAAAGTCGGTATGGGCCGACTATATGATACCCTTCACCACTTTGAGCATATTCTACATATGTAGAATATATCTGAACCGATTTCAGGGAAACTTGCCAGAGAATAATTTACATTACATCAGTACGTTGTGTCAATCGGCCTAGCTATGGATCTTTTCACGAAGCTTGGCAACATCATTCTAGACTTAATTCAGTACCCCATACCAAAATTCGTGCAAATCGAAAGATATTTAGGGACTTTGGTGCACCAATTACATAAAATCGGACAAAAATATATATGGGAGCTATATCTAAATCTGAACCAATTTTCACGAAACTTAGCACACGTCATTCTAGCCTTAAGGGAACCCCACCCATTCTCGATTTTAATTTTTCAAGATTTTCAAAGGGCTGGTAAATCAATACCAATGCTTGTTAAGGTTTGTTACTTTGTATTTTGTTTTTGCAAAATAGTCAGGCTTAATCCCAGTTTGTTGTTTTTATATAAAACAACTATTTATTAGTGTTACTTTGCACATATATATTTGAAGATTTAAAAGAGAAGAAAAATAATTTACAAAAAATTTTGTTATTGTTTTGTTGTTGTTTTTTTGTAATTAAAGAAAAGTCCTTATTTTTGATGGCGGGCACATCGGAATCCGAAAATTCCAACGGTGTTAGAAAGAGTACATGTCTGGCTCTCGTGTGAACTAGGATTATTAACTTCGCTTCATTCTAGACATAATTCATTACTCTATGCCAAATTTCATGCAGATTGAAAGATATTTAGGGACTTTGGCGCACCATTTACCTTTAATCGGATGAAACTATATATGGGAGCTATATCAAAATCTGGACCGATTTTCAGGAAACTTAACACACATCATTCTAGACATAATTCATTACGCTATACCCAATTTCGTGCAAATCGAAAGATATGTAGGGACATTGGTACACCATTTACCTTAAAGCGGACGAAAATATATATGGCAGCTATATCTAAATCTAGACCGATTTCCAGGAAACTTAGCACACATCGTTCTAGACATAATTCATTACGCTATGCAAAATTTCGTGCAAATCGAACGATATATAGGTACATTGGTACACCATTTACATTAAATCGGACGAAAATATATATGGGAGCTATATCTAAATCTGGACCGATTTTTCCAAATTTCAATAGGGTTCGTCCTTGGGCCAAATAAGTGACCTATGCCAAATTTCATCCAATTCGGATCATAAATGCGGCCTGTACTTTGTTTACAATTTAACATGGATAGACAAACAGACGGACGGACATGCATAAATCGTTTTAAAAAGTGATTCTATGCATATTCTAAAAAGGAACCATGTGTCTATCTCGTTTCCTTTTACCTGTTACAAACATATGCACAAAGACATAATACCCTGTACCACAGTGTGGTGAAGGGTATAAAAAATATTAATTAAAAAAGATATTTAAAAAAAAATTAGTAGTCCAATAAAAGTAATTCAAAAATCATTCTTTGAATTTTTAAAAAATATATATTTTGAAGGGATATGAAAGCATGGTTTAATTTACTCGATTTTTTCTGAGATTTTCCTTTTTACATTTTTGAGGTAGTTTTTTCAATATAAGAATGAGAATTGTCTTTAAAATAACACATTTTTAAAGAAATATCCGTGTGTGAGTTTTTTTTTTTCAAAATAAAAAAATCAAAGACTATTAGAACGATGATTTTCCCAACCAATATATTTTCAGGACTATCAGATCATGATTTATTTCCTCAAAGAGTGTTGAAGAGTTAAAAAAAAACTTTTTGAGAACTGTAAGAGTGTAATTTTTCAAAATCACATTTAATATTTTTCAAAGGGATATTTTTTAAAAGACTTATCGTATTTGCATCGCTCAGTTACTACAAAACCGACATATATCAAAATCCTAATCTTGGAGTTCATGATGTCAGATTTAAGGCTGTGCAAAAAATTCAGATGGATATCTCTTACACACAATGTTTGAAAAGCTGTAAAATTCTTCTTTTCCTTGTAAGGTGTAAATTGCAAACTTAAAACACATTTTCTGCAAAATTATTTTTTTTTAGATTTATTCCGATCTTTCAGCCAATAAGCGTTATGTGGTTTCATGTATTATACTACATATCCTAATAGCACTACTATTCTGAATATCAAAAAAAATAATTTTCACAAACTCTATCCTTTTCAAAAATATATATATCTATTTTTTTAATTACCTATGACTTAATAGCTGTAAATCTGATTAAAAATACCGTTAAATTACATATTATGACATTTTGCCACACATTGGCCCACATTGTTTGTCGCTTCCATTATTTCTGTAATTAAACAATTATGACGTGATTAGCACATAAAAATCAAAAAAAAAAAATAAAAAAAAAATTGCGACTCATTTAGCTTTGCACGAGATTAACTAAGCAGTGGCTTAATTGATGACGAAAGCTTAGACACGAACAAACGGATGAACGGACGGACGGACGCAATCATACAAAAAATCTTCATCGTAAATCTTGCAAATAGCTGAGAATTTCGATGAGCAACAAAAAAAACTATTAAATCTTAAACAGATACTAAACGAAAAAAAGTAACAAATAATAAACAAAAAAATCAAATGCATGCAAATTACACTGGGTAACAAATAATATCTAAAGGATATTGAAGAAAAAAAGTATCCTAACATACAAATGAAATTCTTCACCCAGTATAGGTTAGGGATATACTAGGATAATAATTATATTTTTGGTTGATTTATTCCGGTGTAAGGTCAGTAAAAAATGTTTAATTTTTTATTTAGTTTTGTTCCTTTATTTAATTTCCAATATGTTAACATTGATAGTAATTTTCAGGGATAAAGTTTTATGAGAAAAGCCATACTTACTTCTGCCGTTAAAGCTAGACTATAGTGAGAAGTATTATTTTTTTATGCAGTCATTATATACGAGTTATTATATATTATAATAAATTATATATTATAAAAAATTATATATTATAATAGAAAAGCAGTAAGGAAAGTGGTAAAGTCGGACGGGGCCGACTATATGATACCCTTCACCACTTTGAGTAAATTTAACAGACGTCGCATTTTTGATTTTCACGAAACTTAACACACATCATTCTAGACTTTATTCAGTACGCTGTACCAAATTTTGTGGAAATCGAAAGGTATACAGAGACTTTGGTACACCATTTTCCTTAAATCGGACGAAAATATATATGGGAGTTATATCTAAATCTGAACCGATTTTCACGAAACTTATCACACATCATTCTAGGCTTAATTCAGTACGCTGTGCCAAATTTCGTGCAAATCGAAAGATATTTAGGGACATTGGTGCACCATTTACCTTAAATCGGACGAAAATATATATGGGAGCTATATATAAATCTTAACCGATTTTTATGAAACTTAGCACACACCATTCTAGGCTTAATTAAGATCGCTGTGCCAAATTTCGTGCAAATCAAAAGATATATAGGGACTTTGGTGCACCATTTACCTTAAATCGGACGAAAATATATATGGGAGCTATATCTAAATCTGAACCAATTTCA